TCTAATGTGCTCCAGTTCAATGGTAGCTCTTAGGCTATTCTGCTGTTACTCTAATAAGTGTAAAATTCATTTTCAGATTTTGTTCCTGGAATTCAAACACAGCAAAGCCAAATACTTTGCTCCTTAGCAGGCATATCCATGACTTCAGATTTTTTTGGCAATCATTAATAGAAAATAATTCCGCAGAATGAGTTCAAAAATCATATGGTGATGGCACCTCCTAGGTTCCAATTCCTACTGCAAGCCAGAGCAATGGAATATGGGAAGAGGAATGCTATACAACGGCATGCATGCTTAAAAACACACACAAAGTATGTATAAATTATATGCTGGGATATAAGTCTCAATTGTCACAGTTTCAGTTTGCTCTATCCTCTATTTTTGCCCTTCACACTTTACCATTGCTTTTCCATATGTCCATATGTCCTTCAATTTGATCGCCTTTCACTCTTCTGAGTTTTTTTGTCATCCTATGCACACTACATCCATTCAACAAAATTAGTTCTTCTCGTATTTGATTGGCAGAGGTAATTCAAGCAGATTTCAGAACCACGCTCACACTTTCTTACATTGTGGACAGTATTGCTGTACTCAATGAGAAAACTACACAAATTGAGCAACCTGAGAATTTTAAGCATGGCAGCTTTCTTCTTTTCCACATATAATATACAGCATGCATTTCCAATAATATACACATGTACACACAACATGTAATACATATTAGATATCACAAAGTGTAAATTCCTATTATTTTTGGATAAAAGTGAATAACTAATAAAGTCACTGGCAGTCCATCCTAGTATCTGAGAAAGACAAAAGGGCATCCGCATTAGAAAGGACATTAGAATCAGATATTGAGAAGACAGAGCTCCATCTGGGAAATAAAAAGAGTCATGAGAAATTCAGACAAGGAACTGAGAGAATCATTCCTAGAGAAAAAGGTTGGCATTTAGATGGAACTGCAAATTACCATTCTCTGAAACTATAGGAAGGGTGCATGCTCTGTTTCAGGGGAATTATATCTGACAGTGCTGTCATGTACAGAATTGACATAATATTAACATTTTCCATCAATTCCACAGTTCTGCAGGGGAAACATAAAATAATGTAGTTTGTTACTGTCTGTATTTCTATGGTCTCCACTGTATCTTCAGTATTGGCCGGAGAAAATCACATCCTCAAGGACCTAAAGTCACTTTGAAAAATTATCTTCAAGTCCTATACTACCGGGTACTTTCTAAAAATCATTTTAACACATGCACTTTATTTAACACATGCAGGTTAAGCACTCAGTGGTTTTAAATTTTTAATTCATTTCTTTTACAAAAAAGATCAAGAATTTTTTTTTTTTCTTTTTTGGAATGTACATGGAATGCCATGGTGAAAATGGACTTTGTTAGGAATAAATGGCTCGGGAAGCATCAATCACTTCTGTGTTTTCCCTTGTTGATGTATGCAAGACAGACTTGAGACTGACATGTTTCTCAGATGGGATGTCTGTTAGGTGATGATGCTGGCTGCCTCATTATTTCGACTAGGATATTCTGTAACATGTTTTCCTTGTTCTGCAGCCACAGCGTGGAAGCAGAGGAAAATGTCTCAAGTACCAAGCAGGGGCATATAATGTATTTAATTGCTATGTGGAGTACCTATCAATTCACTAAAATAATAAACCATACTCCTTACACAGTTTCATTCATAGACAGATCAGCAAATGGGAGATTTTTCTATCAATATTCACTATACAACCTTCATTTTCGCACTGAGAATGAGAAAGTGCAATGAAAATGAGAACTATTCCTACCTTTACAGTGAGTGTTGTCTTCCTTTTCATCGTTTACTTACCTGATGATTCCTGTTTAATTACCATGCTTCCGCAAAACTTAACAAGCATTCTCTCCAAAACCATTAACATCACGTACCAACATACAGCCATTGCAAAAACAGTGATTCGAGAAGAATGCGAAATCAACAATGAGTGCAAATTAATGAAGCACTTTATCACTTTTCCCACTGAAGAGATTTTCCCAGTTCAAACCCCAAGGCATGAAATTCAAGTTTGACACTGTCACAGTTGGATTAAATTTTTTAGGTGGTTGACTGGAAAAGAGGGATCTGATCAATAGTCAGACAGAAATGTAACCTCGCAGTTAATTGAGCAAGGGTGAAGAAATGGGAGTAATTTGTTCTTTTTTACAAATGAAGCAATAATTTTCACAAATGTGAAATTCCAAGATTTACACACTTTTTCAGAAGGGCTTCCTTTCAAATAATTGATATAGAAAAATCAAGTTCTGGGAAAAGCTGCAAGGATATGCATGTGAAATATTTTTAATGAAGAGTACGTGAAAAAGCTTCATATACATTTTAAAACTATTATCATCACAGCTCAATCCTTCACAATATTTGTAGTGTTTTAATAAATTTATTCTACTTCAAAACTTTAAAAATGAATTCTATGCACTGTAGCCTTCTAATCCATATTTGATCCGTGTGGCTCCATATCAAGGCTCCCGGTCAGTAAAGGATGTTTTCTTCTTTCTGCTAGAGAATGACTCTGCCCTGTGCACTGCCCTCTGTTGTGGAAATGGGAGTTGTTGCAGAGATAGCAGAAAAGATAAAATTACTGGGGCAGATACAGAGAAACAAAAATGTTGTTTAAATGACAAAAAGCTACCAATTTCTTCCCTCTCCTCCGTCCCCCCACTTTTTTTTTTTTGAGAGAGATAAGAGGGATAGAAGGCAGAAGGTAAGCTTAAGGGGATTTTATTCTCTGCCTTCAAATTTACAGAACATTTATTATATATTATACTTTGAGTCAGGATCAAGAATCATCTGCTCTGAGCTGATAAATATTTGTGAGCAGGTCAGCCTGCATGGCAGCCATCTCACAGATCTCAACATGCTCAAAACCTTTAGCAGAAACATTATCTGCAGGAGGAACACTATCTCCGAGCAAGTTTTTCACTAACCAGAATCGCAAAAGCATACGTAGATTTGGCTACAGTGCAAACTACTTGGAAAAAGAATCTTACTGAAAACATTTCCTTCATGAAGTTAATGATAAATTGTGAAAGACATTTCCTGTTCTCTTGTACGCTCTAAGACTTTGCTTTGCATATAAACTCAATTACATGCCCTGGAAAGTTCTCCCCACAACATCATGAAACAATGACATGATTATTATTAGAAGAAAGTCACCAACGACAAACAGGCACACAAGAAACACCCACATGCAGAGACTATGCAAGCAAGGGAGAAGGGGTGTGCCCCGGTTTCACGACGCACGCAGCAGTGAGAGGGAAGAGTGACTGTCGGAAACTTTTCTAATGGCAAGTGAAGTTGATTCTCACCGTTCTGAACAAAATGGCTGAGCTAAGAGCATCTGACTGGTTATGCCCAAATACCCTCCTCCTCATCCTAGCGGTGCACAGGTGGCAATGGGAGAAAAGACCCAGAGCAGCATGGGAATGAAATAAAGAGTTGGTTAGTATTTAAAGCACATACGTAAGTACAAATAGTAGCAAAAAGTGTGGTTTTAATCCCTTATGGAATACTCAGGGTTACCTTGAGGTACAGCTTCCTTTGCTCTCTTGTAGGCTTTGCTACCTTCTAAAATGCCCCTCCACAAAGGGAAGGTGCAGTTGGACTCTTCTCCTGCCTTCTCCCTGCCGCCCTCCCCTTGAAGTCTTTGCAAGAAAATCCTTAGATATTTAAATTTTATCTTTTCGTTTCATCTGTGAATACTATCCTGCATTCAGTCACAAACGTGTCCTACAATTACACTGTAGAAATGGTTTCATTTCACTATATACTTGCAATGCAGATATGACAGATATTGTAACATTTCCTCCAAAATAAATTTGGAAAAGCAATTTAATATGCAGCCTTGACAATTGTGCTCTCCTGAAGAAGCTAAAACCAACATTTTCCAAAAGCATACCAGGAAATTAAAGACATTCAATTTACAGTTCTTTCCATACTATCTGGAGAATGGTATTAAAACAAGATGCAGAAGGAAGCTGCTTTGAGAAGGAGAATTTTTCTGATTATTTCTTTGCTTATATCCCTTGTTATTTTCTAATAGAGACAAAGAAAAAAATAACTATTTATTTTTGCAAAGTGAATATTGTATTTTGTGTTTGCTTTCCCACTTTCCTCTTGTACATTACTCAATTTCGGCATTTCACAAGGTTGGTGTTTAAAGGTCTAGAGTGAGACGCCTTCCCTCAGATCTCAATAATTTCAAATCAGCCAGAGGGTGAAGAGGAGTGCCAAACATTCTTTCACTTTGTCAAGGCAGTGATTAATGATCACTAATATTTTAATTAAATTGGAATGGATGAGATTACAACAAGGGATATGCAATTACGTTGGCATTTTCTGTGTTACCCGAGGGACAGGTAATCTTTCTGATAGTTATCAAACACACAGCTGTGCTTTGTAAGTGACACAAGAGGCTCCTCGCTGCCTTGGAGATGGTAAATTGATTTTCCTCCAGTTCATGGCCCATTGAGTCTGTGAGGGAGCAGCCTCTGCTCATTTGGCACACAGGCCAGGATTTCCTCATGGGAAGTGAAGGGAACTGCTCATATGCAATGCATAGATCAGAAAACTGATCCTGGAGCATGATTTCCTGCTACTGAAGACAAGGAACAGTTCTTGGCACTCCACACATTCAAGCAGCAAACCACGAGTTACTAAAACGTGAACATGCTACACAGGACTCTCGTCTTGTATTTTAAGGCAAGCAACATCTCATGCTGTCTCCTCCTCACCCACTTAATAATAGCTTGGTATCAGGAACTTTTTTTCACACTTAGGGAGTTTTCAAGGAAGGTGACACAACAGCAACATCAATTTCTGTTTCATAACTGCATTGTGGAATGCTATTTTTGTTCCAAGGTACTGTAAGCATGTCAGGGAAAATAACATACAACTCAAAATAATCAGCCTCCATTGTCAAATTACTTTACAAGAGAAAAAGAGAGAGACTTTACCTGGTCTGGGGAGGGCTTGTGGTTGGTTTGGTTGGAATGGGATGAGGATTTGAGGTGATCATCCTCATAGTTGTCAGCCATCAGCTTCATACGGTTCTGTGTCTATTCAAGAAAAGAAGAATTTCAGACTAACTTTAAAGGGGTCAGAGGGACTAAAGAGAATAGGCTATTTATGCTGCTCACTATATCCAAAATCCATACTCGGAAAAAAAACATAAGATATGCCCATAAAACATACATAGGTATTAATACAGAAAAATGAAGACACATTAAAATCACTACGCTGTGAAGCTAGGTTAATTTTGCAGTTAACTGGCTCATCTGGCCTGTACCTACTAAAACGGGTGCTGTATACACGTGTAGGAAGAAACTAATTTCTTGTTAAAGAACCTTGAGATGAAGATTCAGATATACCAATTTGGAGAACGATTCAATGGAAACATCAGTTAGATGAGATTAAGTAATTTTAAAGAGAGAAATCTGTTTTTAAAAGAAGAGTAAATGATAATAGTAGGAATGCAGAATATTGATTATTAAAAACACATTCAGTCTAAAAATCAGTTCTCCATTGATATATCAAAGATACAAAAATCCTCAGACTGGTCAGAAAAATCTGAATAACAGAAAAGCTTTCCTGTGAGGAAATTACAAAGTCAATAAATTTGTCTTTGGGAAGAAGAGGTGACACAATAGAGATACATAAAATTACAAACTCTATAAAGTCAAGCAAAGGACAAAATATGAAACAAGTTTCTTTGCTTTTCTTAGATTTTCTTCAACTTCTCAGGAAATGTCAAGTTTCAAAGGTTTAAGCAGAAAATATAAAATACATGTGGAATTTTAGACTACCAGATATATTGAAGGTCATTTTTCAACTACGTTTAAACACAAATGAAACTCTGAGGGGCACTCTGAGCTTTTACAAGGACAACTAACTAAGCAAAAGATTTGCCTGTTCCTCCTAACTTCCAGGCAATAAATTGTTTCAAAAGACAGATAAAAATAAATTGAATACTGCCTTAACATTACCATTCTAGGTCAGCAAGTGCAAGGAAATTTAAAATAGACTATATGGTTGTGTCTGCAAAGGAAAATGTAAGTGACATGGAGCCCTGTTAGCAAACAACTATCCTGAAAGGAGGTTCCTAAATGCCTACAAACACAAACACACAGAGGAAATAATCCACACAGGCAGAATGTCTCACTTTCCCGGTAGAGTTACAATAGCAATGTAGATAGCAATGACACTCAGTGTGCACCATAAAGGAGACCACGCAGGAGAGCTGGATGTTGGATCTTGCAATGTGAGCCATGTCAGCTGCGACAATGGAGGGCATCTGGGTGCCACTGCCACTAGGCACGTATTTTGGGAGCAGAACCGAAATGGAACAATGGCTTTTTCCAGTTTATAAGGTAGGCAAAGCCTCATTTTAAGCTTTGTGAAATTCTTGTACTACAAAACAAACAAACAAACAAACAAACAAACAAAACTGAAAAAAAACAAAAAAATGGCTAGCCAGACTTGTATTAGATATGATACACTGTGAATTATGTGCTAGACATATTAAAATCATCAAAGATTTACTAAAATTAAATGTCTTCAACGAAAACTCGAAGCTCACTGTAAAAATGCCAGTTGTTGATTCAATCCCTTCATAACTGAATGATTTCTCACTGAAAACTATTATTTTAATGAGATTCTCAATGCTAGAGAATGTAGATTTGAACCGCCTGTATTCAGATCATTATAGAGATGGTCCAGGGCTTGAATCTGGATTTGATTTTAGTTTGGATTAATTTAACAAAAGCTAATTGTAAATTGAGCTTAAGCAATAAGCAATTTAATCTTCATATTGTTCTGTTCTGTCAAACAAGGTTTGAATTCCAAGTCTGACTCATCATTCATAAATCACTACTTGAAATGTGCTACATTAATACTCAAACAACCACTTCATTGTAAAGATGCTTTCTCCATATTTATTATTTTATTAAATGTAAGACTGGATCTTCAATCACTTTTTCTTTGCAGGAAGACCTACTGATTTCTTGTAAAATGTTGGCTTTTATAATAATCTTTCACGTGAATTTCAATTTGTATGTGAACGGATTTATAAAAAAAGCAGAATTCTAGCAGAATATTAGTACAAACCACTAACTTTTCTGAGAAAAGAAAGTAGCTATTCTGCATGCTTTATCCTACTGCACGTAAAAGCCTCTGTATTAGTTCCAATATAGAAAGAGAATGATATAAAGATCTAATCATTTGAAGTACAGCATCTCTTGCGGAAAATTATGAAGTGGCATGGAAGAGGGTGTGTGCATCTGTCCCTTGACTTCAAGTAGCATATCTTACTATTAATAGTCAGCAGGAGGCAATGGGAAGAGGCTAAGAGAATTGGGCCAATTTAACCTGAAAAAGAGGAGGCTTTAATAATTTTGATAGGAGGAAATAGAGAAGATGAAGCTAGTCTTCTTGGATGGAACTGGACAAGAGACAGCAGATACAAATTGCAAAACAGAAAATTCTTGTCAGAAATCAGGGAAAAGCCTTTTCATAACTGGGATTATCAAACACCAGAACAGGCTGCCAAGAGGTTGTGGCCATCTATATCCTTGGAGATACTCAAAATTCAACTGGATGAAGCCTTGAGCACTCTGCTCTAAACAGACATGTTTTGAGTGGGTGTATGTAAAGGACCACTCCAGTCTAAATTATGCCTTTAATTCTTAGAATTTGGGGTTCTCATTTTCAGACAATTTTTTAGTTATCAAGGCTGGAGTTTTCAAAAGAGGGGAAAGATGAACTCCAAAATTCCTCCTTGTTACACAAATAAACAATTTAGCTGCTTAGCTCCATTACAGCCCTTTGAATATTAAACCCAGAAGAATGTCTCCAGCATCCCAGTGATGAGAAATGTACCAACTCAGTGCACCAGGAAGATGTTTTCTGTGTTGTCCTCTTAATCCAACCTGAGCTTCCACTGTTTTTGCTGTTAGTCTAAGAGTGCATGTTTCTGATATAGAAATCTTGGCAAGAAAACACCAAATTCAGTACTGACATACTTACCCTTGGAATGAGGCAAGAATTAAGAGATGGAAGAAAAGAAGTTTATTTCTTGGTGTATGCCACTAATGTGTTTTTCAATAGTAATGTTCCAACCAGTGTCGCAAACCTATTTCTATCATAATAGACAAACGTCTTGTTATGTTTTAATTCTCTATGTCAAATATGGACGAATAATGATTCCGCTTTAATCCTAAAGTGCTAAATGAAGAACTTCTGATTGAGAATTTTCAAAACAACTGGAAAACATTAATAGAGTTTTTTACCTATTGCTTCTCTCCACACACAAAAAAAGTATATTCAAAAGGATGGAAACTTCTCGAGTATTGGCATATGGCTGTTGGAATGGTTTAAAAAGAAACCATTTACTTTACTGTGGGGAACCACTTTGACATCCTGCAGTCCTAAGGCACGTTGTCATGGTGCTATTATACAGTCCTCTCCCACCTTATGAGGTTATGGCTCAGATCCTAAGGCAAACATTTCTACATCATTGTGAAAAAAAAAAAACCAACAAAGTGGTCTAACCACAGTGTCCTGTGAGAAAATAAATGAGCAATGCAGACAAATCACTTGTGTCAGGAGTGCTTTTGTCTAAACCTACAGAGCTTGTAATCAAAACTGGTGATGATAAGAACTGGATGTCAGATCCAAATTTTGCCTAAAAAATACCTTTTGACATTACAGGTACTTTCTTCACCCATGTGCAGATAAATCACTAAACTGAAAAAAAAAAAAAAGATGAGATCTCATAACCCAAAACGCTTCTTACTTTTTTTCCAGAAGGTTTCTTTCCTTCTTTTCTTTTTTGACAGATTTCCTAAATTTGTCTTCCAATCACAAAAAAAAAAAAAAAAAAAGACAACAAACCCCAAACACCAACCAACAAAACAATGTACCAAAAAGCAAATGGCAACAAATGCACACAGCATACCTTGCCAAGCCTGCAATAACACCCTTCAGTCTACCAACAAACTCTCCACAGAAGAACAGTCCTACAAGCCTTTAGGCTAGTGTCAATCCTCAAAGCTACTGAAGAACCAACACACACTTTCAAGCTGCTAACAGAAATCTAGAGAGCTTGGCATGAGAGATCTGCAGACCACAATCTGTAAACCCCAGGTCTAGGGCAAAATATTGGAAAAAAAGCTTTTTCCAGCTATACGTGACAATGCTCGAGCAGAATCAGATCCTGCATATCCTGCATACCACCTTTTTTTTTTCTTTCTTTTTTTCTTTTTTTTTCCCCCAGAATTTCTGCAATCACTTTTTTTGCCTCTCTGATACATCTGATACATTCCTAACAATCACTCATTATTTAACCTCAGCCTGTGTCCTGTCCCTTACTACAACAGGTGGGTATATTAAAAGTACCATGAGAAAATATGACATAAACTTGTTTTTAATCATAAATAATCATAAATATAATTCATAAATCATAATATATAGTATAAATCATAGTATAAATCATAAATGTGAATGCTCAGCTTCAGCACTGCTTTTAAACCATGCTCTTCTGTTGTTTTGTGATTTCACATGCACTGAAACCACATATTCCTCCTACTGTTCTTCTGGTGACTTTATAGTTTACTTCTGCCTGTGTTTTATACTGAAAAAAGTTTGGGTAAGCAAGGATATTACCATGAAGTAGACAGGTTCTAATGCAACCAGCACCTGAAAACCTTTGTTCCAAATAGCACTTTGTGTAATATTAGCTGCCAAAACTGTAGCCATGGTGAACGCTATTTAAATCTCACTATGTTCCCACCTCATGGATGAACAGCTTCAAGGCAAACTCGCCTGGATATCCTAAGGGTAAGTTCACTGCAGGCTATGCTGGTACTTTGTTCACCTAGTTCCTAAAGACCAAATGAATAGATTTTGTATTTAGTGAAAAAAATGGACAAGAAGCCGATCCACAAAGTGTAGGGGAAGATCAGCGACGTATCCTGCTGGTAAAACCTAGCAGAGTCCAACCTCTCCTTCTAGTGGAATTCCACATAGAAATTTGAAAACCACAGATTTAACAACAGACATC